CTGTCTGACATCCAACCCTCCCCGATTTTCACAGTAACATTGTAAGGCTGCACGAAGAGAATTATTTAATGGAAAGAAGTTTTGCATCTGAGTCCCTTATCACAGTCATATGGTTCRATTTACATTTATGCAAATATCAGAGAATAGAGTAAAATTACCCAAGGCGGAAAGGACTGTGGCGTGTCACAAAAAGATGTGCCTATTTGCATTAATGTTTGCTAATGAAGCTCAGCCAGGGCTTGCTCTTTGATTTGGATGCCTCTGTCTCCCATCCCACTTTATGCACTGTAATTAAACCACTTGCCCACACACATGCAAGAGGACACCAAGAAAGGGAGACTTTAAGTTTTATAAGTGCTGTTCTGTCACTTACTTACACAGGGGCTRTAATTCAGGGTTTAACATCCCTAAGTGATACAACAGGCCTGCAGTGTGACATTGTGCTTAACTCTAATGCAAGCAGAACTGCAGACTTCAACCAGTGGAGGATTTGGCCCAATAAACTTTGGTGTCTCGGGTGCCCGCTGGAGATGTTTTACGCCATACTTTCCAAATTTTATCCCAAATAAAAATTAAGCATCAGCCTACTCAAAATCCCATCTGTTTCTTTCTCCTGCCAAAATTATTCTTTCTCATCATGCTRCAGCTGTGAAATGATGCACTGGTGTAAATTGTTAACTGGAAACCATGTCTAGCTGAGGTGCTTGATCAGAAGTCATAGTTTATTGATTTACTCTGTTCCCACATTGAGGAGCACTCAYACAAGTTCAGCTGGGGCTTTTTTCTGAATCATRGAATCACAGACKGKTTKGRRYTGGAAGGGACCTTAAARATCATCCAGTTCCACCCCCCTGCCATGGRCAKGGACACTTTACACCAGACCAGGGCRCTTCAAGCCCYATYCAGCCTCGCCTTGGACACTTCCAGGGATCCAGGGGCAGTCACARATTCTCTGGGCACCCTGTGCCAGGGCYTCACCACCCTCACAGGAAATAATTTCTTCCTGGTATCCAATCTGAACCTAATCTCTTTCAGTTTAAAGCCATTCTCCTGGTCCTAAAATGCTAATAAACACATTGTTACCTATCCCTAAATTGGTCCCATGAACTGTTTATTAAACTGCTTCATTTAATGGCACCAACTGTGAGGACAGGAGTTCTGCTGCCTGTTTCTTGGGGTTGTTCTTTTTGGTCCTTCATAATGGCACCACCTTGGGCTAGCACTACAGGAGAGAAATGGGACCAAAAAAAAAAAAAAAAAAAAAAAAAAAAAAAAAAAGAGAGTAGAAACGGGATGATTTTTCTTGAAAATGAGGGCGTTGCTTGGCCAAGGTCCTTTGTGCCATGCTGGCTTTTTAAGCTGTTAGTTTTCCATTCTTTCACCAAACTAAGGGCAAAGCAAGATCTTCCTTTTAGGAGCTGACAGCACTGAACACTGCTCATCTTTTCTGCTTCGTTGTATCTCCTTTCTGTTGGAAATTGTTGGGAAAAAAGAAAACCTGCTTTCATTTATTAAATAATGAGAGTATTGTCAGAGAGGATYCTGTATCAGAATCCAATGTGCTTTGGCAGCTTGAAGGACCAGCATTTCCAAGGGAGAGTCCTGACACAGAGGATGCCTGAGAAGATGTGAGAAGGTTCTTCACAATGTGCCTTCAGGGGGTAGAATCATAGAATGGTTGGGGTTAGAAGAGGTGTTCAAGATCTGGTTCCAACCCCACTGCCATGGGCAGGGATGGACCCGCTAGGTTGGGTTGGGACTGAGAACCAAGAACTGAGCAGCAAAATGATCACAGCTCTCCCCTAAATGGGAGCAAGATGTAAGAGTGGCCTGGGCAAGATGAAGGCCAAGTTTCTGCTTTCACATTGTCCTAGCCTGTGCAGCCTCTGGCTCTGGTTGGCAGCAATCTGTCCTTGCACCTTCAACAAGGTCACAGTAGGGCAAGAAAAATCTTGTCATGTGTTATCAAGGAGCAGGAAGAGTTTCTGTGCCGGCTAGATCAGCCAAATAAGGTTAGATCAACTTTCCAGAGCATGGAAGCCTTTCTGGGAAGGCAGACTTGTGTAATTTGTGCCAGGTTAGGTGATGCCCCTGTCTAAAAGGTGATCCCTTGGCCACCCCTGCACATTTTAGGTGCAGCAAGAGGCTGATAGAACTTCAACCAAAGCAGAGATTCAGCTCACCGCAGGAAAAGTCAAAGCACAGCCTGATAGTAAATTTTAAGAGAACACACAGGAAATTTGGATGCAGCAGATACTTTTCCAGAAAGGGCTCCMGGAGGAACCATGGGCTTATGTTATCTCTTGACAGCAAGACATATCCAGCAAAATGGATACAGCTATTTTAATCCCACATCAAGAGCCKGCATCATCCTCTATCTGTAATTCTGAGCCAAATAATCATATTTAAAAAAAAAATAAAAATTGAATGCTGCCAAAGTGGCATAAAGCACCCAGAAGTGTCATCCAAACCCTCCACWTTATCTCCAACCACACTAAATGTCTGCCACATACATCTTAACTCTTACAAGGGCACATGAACATGCGAGTTTTATAAAAAACATCTTGCTGTTTCTGTTCACAATTCTTGGCATGTAAAGATCTGTCTTTCAGAATCACAAATTCAGCTGTATAGGTCTTAAAGTTATCTGGTATAGCTCAGAAAGATGGGATGTCTGTAAAATGCTTTTGCTCTGCATAAAAGCATTTTGGAGGTTAACCTTTATTATCTACTAAGGTATCAAAATGAGAATGAAGTGTTATCTTGTTATGGAATGGGATGAATCAAATTCCCTCTCTTGAAACACCAATTTTCAAAACAGTTACCTTTATGCTGAGGTTGAAGGTATGGATGGTTTCTGGGTAAAATGGTTCAATTTATTGCTGAATTCCATAATAAAATATACATATATCAGAATCACTTTGGCTTGGGAAGGAAAAATGTGTTGTTTTTATTATTGCTGAACTTCAAAATGGCTTCAGGAATTTTGTTGGTCCTTTCCAAAAAAAAGTGAACTTCAGGCAGAGATTAAAGCAGAGGAAATTTCAGCCCAAGGGCAAATGTTTCAGAAAGTTGAAAGTATGTGAAACRGGGAGTGAAGTAGGAAATAGTTTTCAATCCTAACTATAGCCACACTAGTTATAATATATCACTAAATATAGASCAGTGGGTGTGCCCAACTCTCCAAAGGTGTTAGCCTGCCTCCCCTGAAGCTGGCTTCTGAAATGACCTTTGCAGGGATGTAACTGACTGTACAACACTATCCRTGTTGGAAAATGTTAAACTTCATATTTCCCAGGTGAGCCCAGCCAAGCCCAACTTTGCTTCACAACCAAAATTCCTTTCACAAAATTCAACCTTTTATCTTTCATGTAGATCCAGCTTTGTACTYGGGATCATTTGTCTCCAAGCAAACTTCAGAGCAATCCTGAATATTTTGTTTATGTGTTAAAGGTTGTCACTTGGGTTATAAARCTGTGTAAAACTATCGGGGTCAAGGAGCTAAAAACATTACTTTTGCGTCCACTTTCAAATGCCAGCCATAATAATTTGGGAAAGCTGAAGATCCAAACTGCCTTGGACTTGCTGCTTGTGGTTGTGGGAATATATTGGATCCTTTCAAAATTATTGGCTAGTCTGTTTTGGGCATTTCATGTTTGGGTATAGAGTCTTTGGGTTTATTTTGTGTTTTGCTTGTGGTGATACTGTCATGTCTTGRCTGTATAACCCAGAGCTGATGTTCTGCTCTTCAACTTTAATGCCATATGCTGCTACATCTCTAGACTGAAGTGTGGTGTTAATGTAAAGGATGCTGTAATGAACATCTTGTACATATTTCCTTTTGCATATTCACTGTCTGTAAAATGTCTCTCTGAATACATCCTTGCTGGTTTTGAAATGATTTCTTTACAGTTCGGTATAAATGCTATTTATATCCAAAGTTGTTTGAGGTTATCCTTTACTCCTAGTGTTACTCTAATTCTAGTTTAAGAGAGGAGAAATTGATCTGGCTGAAATTAATTAGGAAATTGGTAGAGCCACTAAAAATGGTGGTTATATATGGCACTTCCTAAGTGCTTGGACTGGAGAGGTACAAAATGAATCTGACGAAGCACTAACTGTAATGAAATAGATGACTACATTTTCATTTTTAAAACAGGATGGCTGCTGAAGGTGAACCCAATAAAGCACAACTGTTTAAACTCCTTTGCTTTTTAAAASATGTTGTTAATATATTAAAAAAAAAAAGTATTTTTTTAAACTGAGAGTGTCTCCTTACAGTATTGGGTTTCTAGTAGCATTAAAAGGTATAGTTTCCTATATTGATTCAGAARGAACTGTTAAAAATGCATGAAAGTTATTTTAGGGAGACAGTGTCACAGGATCTTTTAAAATTATTTTCTCAAGTGCTGCTTAACTCCTGTGCTTTTTTACCATTGGAAACACTTCATCCCAGGTTACAATGTATGGGATATCAAATTATTTCCAACTGACCAGAGAGTCTTTAAGATTAATTTGGGTTTGGAGTGGTGGGAATTATACCACTGTCTGTTTATATAAGTTTAGACACAGCCTATAAATTAAGTTTGGAAAACTGCWATTATTCAATAATTTATAGAATATTCAGATGGTTTAAAAATTATTCTTGAACATGGTGAATAGAGAACACGTGCTTATAAAGGACAAACAGATTCAGCATAATGATGTATTTTTGGCCTCATCTGTTCTGCAGGCAATTAACAAAGTAGGATGTTAGGTTTTTGCCTATCTCTTGCTCTCCTGAAATAGAGTCACTAACCACTTGTTAACCACACTGATTTTTTAATAGACAAAGTGGTTGCTTGCAGCTTCCCCACCAGAAATGTTCAGATTAAGCACACTATTAGATTGCAGCCAGAATAGCCTACAAAACAGGAAGAAAGCCTTGCCTTTCTCTCTGCCTCCTTCTCTTGTTTAAGCTGATGTGATAATTCACTGCAGATTTTCTCTTTCCCTGACAGAGTGCCTACCGCAGGAACGGGATGACTTTTCTCGCCTGCTGATGTGGATGTGGCTGCAGCAACAGGAAAGACAGTGTTATATTAAGGTGATTTTCTTTTCCCCTCCATGGAAGGAAAAAAAATACAARCTCCAATGTCTCCATGTACCAGTGAGTGGGCTGGTTTGTTGTGACTATCTGCTGGCTGTCTCTGTCTCTTTTTCCAGCCCCCTCAATCGTTATTCTTGTTTACTAGCTGGAACATTTAGCTAATTAATGGCAGGATGTTTGGGATAGGGTGTAGGTGGACAGGAATGCAGTTCAGACAATGCTGGAGTTTGCAGGGGACTAGCTGCTGTCAGCCTCTGACTGCCATGTCATTTTTATTTAAGTGTCTGGAAGTCTGTATGTTCTCCAAAAGATGTTTTTTTGTAAAGCAGGATGGGGCAGGAAGAGGCCAGACAGAGACAGACTGGGTTGTGTTGGTTTATTGGGTTATATAAAGGTTATGTACTTTTCTTTGAGAGTTTTACAAAAATAAAAGCTATTTCCCTCTATTTTGTACTAATTTCCACTTGATTCTCTCAATTAATATAAGTGTTCACYCAGTATAACCCAGTTTAATCCAGTGAGGGGATTTTGATGACAACAATACCAAGTTTGGACCCAAAGATATTCAGAAAAAGTTCAGGTAAACTGAACTTTACCAGTGGACAACCAGTTAGACACCTGAATTTTTGGGGACTAAGTGCTCACCCCCAAACTCTCAGTGTTGGCTTAAGCCATCATTGTCCAAATTCAAGAAAAGCCYTTGCAGTGACTTGGCACTGGATTGGACCCCTATTTGGAAAAATCCATTCTGAAGTATTTCAATAACTGTGTCTGTCTCAGTGGTTCTAGGCAAGGGCTTAACATTGTGTACTTGCTCAACGTTTGCTGCAGGAAGCAGATGTTGTCCCTGGTGTTGACAAAGGCAGCACAACTGTTGGATTTGGTTAAAGAAGAAACCAGCTCTCTTTGCCTTTTTTTTATATATATTTTAGCTAATGTTGTTTGTTTTCAAGTTTTGTTTTTTTTTTAAATCTCAGTCCCTGCCTCTATGCTTGTTCCCATCTCCTGCTCCTCCAGCCTTTGCYGGCCTCACAAACACATTCATTTCTTCCCATAAAAACTGTACAAATATAGAGCTAACCACGATGATGCTTGAGCAGAGAAAAGGGCTCCTGCTTCAGCCCATCACCAGGATCTGCTGGCACATCCTGCTGGTGTCCCTGTGGTACYCACAGGTCAGGGGTCTTCTTCAGCTACTCTGAGCTCAGGCTTGGAATCCAATTTAAGCCTCAAATCAATACAGAACACTCAAGGGATGGAGAGGAGAACAGCAAAATGTTGTTTTTATATAGTGCAGCCGTCCTCCTCCTTTGTGCWCAGTATGTGAGGTCTTAATTTTCACTCCTGCTCCGTGCTCTTGTGGTCGTTTGTAGGTGGTTTTGTTGTCCTGCTCTCCTGGACCTGTTTGCAAAAACTTTAAATATATGTATATTTTTAAAATAAACTGAAAAATGTCACTTTGCAACTGAAATATTGTAAAAGTGAACTTTGTACGTCCAATATCGCTGCCATTTGTAAATTGCTTTTCTCTTTTATCTGCTTATGCCTCTGTTTTCTGGAAATTTTCTGTGTGCAAAGGACTAAAAGTAATGTGTACAATGTATTAAACGATGGAAGGGGGGAGTTTTCTGATGTTCCATCTGTGCTTCTTGAAATATATGATTAAATTTTTCTTTTTATCATCACTCTTTATTTTTGTTGGCATCCTTAATCATGGAAAATTATATGCTTGCTGTAAACATYGAGACTTTTTTAAAAGGACACCAGCATTTATTGTATTTGGTTTCGATCTGCAGGGATACAGAGAAAAGAAACCATTTCAGGCACTGGGTACTGGAATCAAAATTCCTTCTGTTGCTGTCTCTCTCCCAGATTTTACATTTTAAAATATGCATAAGCAGGAAAAATACTGGCACTTATTTTTTACTGGTCTACATAAAGTCCCAGAGAATGAAGACTCAACATACATTTCTCTCAGAAATATGACAGATCATGTTTTTGTTGGTCTGCTGTGTGTTTGTCTATCTTGAACAGCCTGACAGGCAATTATTTATAAAATCTGGGTTTGCCCAGTAAACCCATATAATAACCTTTCACTTCTTTGCACAAGTCAGGGAGCTGAATTTAGAGTCAAACAAGGTAGGCTATGTYTCCCTATCTTGGACTAACACATTTTATTCTTATTTTGGGAAGTAATCACCTTTTTTTTCTCATCTGCAGAGTTTTGTTTAAACTCTGTTTAGAACAAAAATGCAAYCAGTAATACTCGTACTGCACTTGGAGTGTGTCTTAGCACCACTTCCTGTGCTGCAGAAGCAGAGATGTATGTTTAGGCTGGTACTACACATTTTTATTATAGTATAAAATTCAGCTTGAGATTCAGTTAATGGCTGCATATGAATAGCTCTACACTTGTGTAATTTCAACTTGCAAATCATTTCTRTTCTTAGCCAGGATTTATAGTAACTGAATCAGGTTATGTTGATTATTTCACATTAGTTACCTGAAGAAGGGAAACATTACTTGCAGTAGGAATATAATTCTGTAACYTTTAAGGGAGTGTGAGTTCTGCTCTCAGCGCAGTGCCTGCCCTGCTCTGTGCTTATACTACCTGTGTTTTCAGTTTTTATTCCAGCCATCTGCAAAACAGGGATAATCATTCAGCTTAAAACTTGTCAGAGGTGAGGGAGCCACAATGCAAATTTCAAGTTGGGGTTCGCCTCATTTCCTGGCCCATCTTCTGTTGGTTTTTGCTCTGAAAAAAATCAAACCCTTTAAAAGACTTTTGCCTTTGTCTGGAAATCAGAAGAAGCYGACAGTGCTCTGTATTTCTCCAGAGAMACTCAGAATACTCCAGAATGTGCCCCCTGGGTTTTCAGGGCACACTTCTCTTTGTCACGTGTCCGTTTCACTGAGGGGGGAAATACAAAAAGTGTATTTTGGTGGTTTTTGGGTGTGGATGAACCTTTATGTTGTGTTAAGGTTCTGCCATCAGCCACGTGTAGATCTCATAAAATAGTTTATAGTTTCCCGTCCAGCTCATAGAGAATATTTCATGGTACATAAACACTTCTAATCATAAATTCAGAATAAATAGATAGTGACATTAGTCRCAAGTTCAACCTTTAGCTGAAATTTAAACAGTACAGAGTTGGGGATTTTTTTTTTCCTGAATGAATCATYTTGTCCGAAGCTGGSCTTCTTACACCTCTACTTTTTATCCCTCTGCTATATAWTTACCCCGGGCAGCAGTGCAGCCAGGGAAATGCAGTGGTGGCATGCATTAAATCCAGGTTTATTCAGAGGGCACAGAGCCAGCCCAAAGCAGCAAAGCCATCCCTGAAGGAATTGAATGTAAATTTGATGGTTTAAATAAGGCCAGATGCCTTAAAAATTATTTTGAAAGCTSTATCTTTAATATAGGTCTTAACTTTTTTCTTTTTCTGCTTAAGATAATGATGTTGCCTTTACAAAATAATAAGAAAAAATAGCTCTCATCTCTTGTGGGGAGACAAAAATCAGATACTTTGGCTTCTATAAATCACTGAAATCTTGGCAACTGAAACTAAGTTTTAGAAGGCAGATGGCTGCAAATTTGAAGGAAACCTTCATATTTTACTGTTAAAAGCTTTTTAAATGTCTAGAGAGTGCTCTGAGACACTACATTAATAGCCCTTCTCAGTAATCAAGCTCCACTATACTTACACACTATTTTTCTTAAACAAGATAGATTAATGGTGAGGGATGGAAAGATAAATAAGGAAAATAATGAACTATAATTATAATAATASAGTTTCATTTTACATTTTATAGGTCTCTTCAATATTTGTGATTGATAATTCATCTTAATTCCTATCAGGCAGAAATATTGGCGCAAAAATCTTTTCCAATATCTGTGTGTTTCTGKACTTGTCTTCATCCAGATGCTTTGCAGATTTTTGTGACTGATTTGGTGAAAATGTGATCTATCAATCTTTGGTCCTTGTATGACTTTGATTGCTGTAATATCTGAGTTCCTCATGGCTTTCCATGTGTTTATGCCTACAGCCCAACTTTAAAATAATGTGTTGTTATCTCCGTTTCTTCTGGGGAAAGGGTGAGTGATGGGTCCCATGCTGGGAAACCTGGGATGGCTCTGAAATCTGGGCTTCTCAAATCCATAAAGATGCTCTCAGTTCTGAGATATTTTCCCTCTGCAGTGAAGGTATGTCAGAGGGCACATAACCCAGCCCTGCAGGTTAGGGCAGAACGGGGCAAAGGCAGAATCCAGCTGGATCCATGAGAGGAGCTGGTCATGGAAGAATGCAGCCACTCCATCTGRATCTCATCCAGGACTCAAATTTCTGTCTGAGATGGGCCACAGGCACTTGGTGACCTCATGCAGAAACACAAATTATATATTTCCACCAAAACATGGGCAGTGGGACACTTTCCTTCCTCCAAACTATTAGAACTGCATCAGAAATCACCATGAGGRACGTGCTCATTACAAAAATCCTACTTTGGCAGTGCCAGAGCATTCTTACCTTGATCTCCTTCAGCCTGACTTTGCAGAGTGCAYCAGAGCATGAAGAAATGAGAGGAGAAACACAAATGCTCTCTTTTAAAYGGGGCAGCAGCTGTGATGGGTGTTGACAGAGATAAAGTTAAATGTTAATTTTTTCGTAGATGAACTGGGTCTGAACCCCTTAAAATGCCACTGAAGTGTGGTGGCTGATCCTCATCCTGTAASTAGACCTGGGAGAAGAGGAGGTGTAACATATCAGAAGCTGCAGTGGGATTCAGATACTCAGCAGTCAATAAAGCAAGTTGGCTCAAACCACTTCTGTTTAGCTCTCATTTCCATAAGTATTTAATTAATCTGCAAAACAAAAAAAAATCCAAAGAAACGATTGCCTTTCTTGTGCTGACATGATTTCTTCAGATCTGCAAATGAAATGGCAGCAACTGCATGTCAAGCTGAGGTGAAAACAAATCTGAAGCATCACTGCAGAAGGAGAAGGAAGGTGTTTGGAGGAGAAAGGCTCCAGCTGAGCTTCTCCCTGAACTCCCTTGCTTAGATCATTGTGTATCTTCTGATCAGCARTGCCTAAATCTGCTGYTCRTGCATAAATTTTGTTCAACTAAATRATTTTAGCAAACTAGACAYGATCTGTCTATTGTGCTCCATGTCAGCTTGCCCTTGCTTTAATAAAAAARAAWTTATACTCCTCTKTTTTGGAATGGCATCAACGTAGTCCTAAATTTTCACTGCTCAGCAGATTCTAGTGTAGACAGARCACAAATAAATGGAAACARTTATTAAGGAGTTGTTTGAGTGCCYGGGAAAGGRTCTTTGACAGTCAATTTCTCCATGGAAGGTGCTGCTTTTGTTCACCTTCCCTGGGATGGTGACCAGGCTGATACAGGGCTCCTGAAGGGCTTGAATTTGTCCAAGAAATTGAGGTCAACCTTGAGGTCTCCCTCAAACTCGTGAGCATCCCACTTGTCTCCTCACTGTGTAAATCAGGCACAAGCCCAAGAGGAAAAACACGACAGACTCTTCCACTGGAAGATCAAGAACCACAGCATTGAATATTCCAAGGTAAGGCAGAATAAAATAACCTTGGTCTGAGTGGGCTCTGCAGCATGTTGCTTGGSAAATTATTATTTTTTTCCTGTTTGACAGTTGCATCATGATTATGTCCACACTTTGGAGATCAGMACTTTGGCAGTGAAATAGTTAAGAACAGTTAATTCTCACGTGTGGCCAACTTTCAGAGCCAGCACAGAGGTAAACAGCTCTCTGTCCTTTTGCAGCTGTTGATTTTGGCTGGTGGGTTAAAAACCTCTCACATTTTAAGGGCACAGGTATTTTGGGGCAGAGTCTCGCTTGCTTTTATTCACAGTACCCAAATAAATAAGTGTTGCCATCTGAGCTAGTCCACCTTGCTCCACTGACCACGCTTGCAGGTTACAGTCTTCCCAAAGTCTTGGTAGTGAAGATAAAATTTATATTTTATATATTGGCATATACCAATGTRTATTGGTATAAGCAGCCAAACTTTCAAATTTTTGGCCAATGTCCAAACCTTCCCAGTTTTTACCATGGCTGGTTTTTATAGGTGCTTTTTTTACAKTGTTGGAGTTGGGCTTGTAGATGATGCTGGATTCATTTTTATTTTGTTGAGGCTTGTTTTATTTGCAGTTTGGTATGTAGTTGTGGTGCACACTCTGAAGGGATTTTGCATCTTASTTGGTTTCTTTGGTGGTCTTGAAGGAAGGGCAAAATTAATGCAGCACTTAAAGAGCCTGTTATTAAAACTTTATTCATAGGTGAGCAGGAGTGGCATAGAAAATGTATTAATTTATATGCATATATATTAAATAAATATGAATATATGTGTACTCATATTTTTTATGGAGACTGAATTCCAAAAAAATCACTGCTTTTTAAAAGCAAACATAACTCTGCTCTTAAACTTCCCTCTCTCTGCAATAAAAGTGGTTTATCTTTGTAAAGATAAAAAAATTGAACTTTGTGGAAGTAAATTGATTGTAACCTTTGGTTTCTTTGCTGTCTGCCATTTTTCTCTTGAATGAAGTTTAATGTCACAATTAAGAAATTGTGAAACTTAATGAAGTTTTAGGAAAACAAATTGTTTTTCTATGAAAGAGCAAAGAATTTTTAAATTTTTTTTTATTAAAAAG